AAGCCAAATTTAGAATCTAATAGAGCCACCAAAGAGCAAAAAAAAATTCCTAAATTGTGTTGAGATCCCGGTGATTCCTGATTTACAGTTGTACTGGAGCCTATGCGTTACGATCACAAATTGCAATGGTCGTTAAGGGAGGCACCCACAGGATTGCCCCATTGAACAACACTATAGGAAATCGGTTGATTGCCTTAATGTGTGAGTGGTCATTTCGATCTAGATATACCCTGGTATTTGTACAAAACGATGAACTGAGAAATGAGTGCAAATTTTCCATGATGGTAGCAATTAAATGTACCGTGGTGTGCTGGGTGCTCTCTGAGCTTGATGGTTTATGTTCCATTACCCAACTAGGTAACATCATCAGACCGAGTGAGTGTAGGGTTTGGTCCCTGTTTATATATACCAGCTTGCCCTGCCACACAGGGCCCATATAGTAGAATAGCAGTTTGCTCCCTATAAAAACAGGGAACAAACTCCACAATTGCTAGCACTGATGCGTTACCTGGCTGGAAACATCTGCAAGGAATCAGCCAAGCTCAGAGAGCATCAAGAACTCCACAGTTCCACCTTGAACTTCAAATAGTCTTTTCTATTGATGCTAAAAGTTCTGTTTGAAACTGCCGTAGAGTTCTAAAAATAGTAGTAGCAGGACCCAGAGATGGCCATGTGCAAATGATGGCTCTGGGTTTAGTTTTTGTTTTCTAAAAAAACAGAAATAGGGTTCTTATTGTATGTATGGGTGGCTCTGTCTTGTTCACGTGCTGGCATCTGTGAAACTATATAGCTGGGCTGCTGATGCTCTGAGGTGGCTCAAGAAATGATAATAGGGATCTAAAAATAAATATGACACGCAACAATTAAGTGATGGCCAGAAGGATGGCAGCAATAATAACATTACAATTATAAAATAAGTGACAATAGAGGAGGGAGAAGATGCAATGAAAAGACATTTTGCTACTCATGAATGAAGCAGCTGTTCGATGAACATGTGTTAGAATTAGCAAGGCGCAGCCAGTCCCTTGAGGAAATAATTCCTAGCTGGGGGGCACTAGGAATGCATTAAATAAAACTATTGCCCCATTTGAAAAAAAAAACCACTTAAAGTAATGTTGTGCATCGTATTTTTAGTACTTTCCAGATACAAGTACATTGGCTATATCTGAAAAGAAAAAGTTGCCCGGACAGTTGAACATGGAAATCATTTCTTCAGGAAATCAGAAAAATGCACCTCCGACTAATATAATCATAAATAATTTTTGCTCCTGATTCAAACCATAATTGTTTTTGAAACTTTTGTGCCCTTGAAAATACACTCATGTTCTACACAACCAAGGAGTAGATTTCAGGACCCGGAAAGAACTAACTCAGAGTTATAAAACTTTCCTACTTTACTAAACTGCACAGCTTGATGGCCTAAAATGGTGAAACTGTAATCAAGAAGCGTTTGTACTACAATCTCCTCTGGATGCAGTTGGAAGGCTTGTAAACCATATGCCTGCCTTTGACAGCATGCACCGATGAATTTATAGGATTTGACAGCTTCGCGGAGAATGAGTGAGTGAATGCCTTGGCAGCTAGACAACCTTCCCTTGTGGAGGTGCAGAGTCCCAGATGGTGAAGAGAGCCACACGGATGGTCATCCCAGCACACCCTGCCTGAGAATCCGGGGTGGGCTCAATCCAGCTTCTTTGCATTCTTCTCTTCATGATCTTAGTAGAACCACGCAACTGAAAATAACTCAAAACTTCAGTTTTGTAACTTATATCTCAAGAAAAAAAAATAAAAAGATTTGTGTCTGGGTGTAAGTGACAAGCTTAACACAATCAGCACCAAAATTCAAAATTTTGGAGAGTTCCCAGGGCCCAGGACTCCAGCAACTAAGTGTGAACCAGGTTCAGTTTTAATTGTCTACAATCCTCCGATCTTACTCCAAGGTACGATGGGAAAATTAAACGGCAGCCTACAATGATCCAATTTTTTAATTCACTGTGCAATATTGCTGCACGGCCCCCAAAATTCATCAGGAAGGTTGCAGGATGCTCTGCTGGCCGAGACAGATTTTTTTCCCCAACAATCTGCATTAAACTGAAACTCATTAAAGATGAACTGGTTAAAAAAAAAAACATACAGCAATTGAAGATTAGAAGGACAACAGCAGTAAAAATGAAAAAAATCATCTTGTGTTTTCAGGTGCTTTGATTTTTAAGGCCATGTTAGAGGATGTATTTGCCTTTTATAAACAAGGCAGGGGTGGGTCAGAAGCTCAGGGATAGTTTGGCTCAAAATGCAATTGAAATGATATTAGGAACATCCCCATTTTAAAACTATTTCCTCTTTTTTAAAAATATTTACTTTCAGACTACCAAATATCACAGTTCCTAGAGGGTGTATAAATGCCAAAAAAAAGAGAGTAATAATGGAAAAGAAAAGATTTAAAGGGTTAGAAAAATTGAAACACCAGTATAGGCTAAGAAAGATATGTTTTGAAAGTCTGGGTCTACCATCATCAATTTTTCTGCTGCTTCCACTGTTTATCCCTGACCTTGGGAAAGCTGTTGAGGAATGAAGTTCTTCAGACCTGAAGGCAGCAGAACTTGGTCAAGCAGAAACAGAGCATCAGTATATCTCAGGCAGGAGCCAGGATGGGTAATGGTTAAAGCACCAGAGTAGAAATCAGGAGACTGTAAGATCAAGTCCTACATGAAGAAGAAAAGGAAGTCAACCTATTCTCCAAAGCACCAGAAGGCAGGACAAGAAGGCAGGACAACGGATGGAAACTAATCAAGGAGAGAAGCAACCTGGAATTCAGGAGAAACTTCCTAACAGTGAGGACAATTAACTGGTGGAACAGAAGTTGCCTCCAGAAGTGGTGGGTGCTCCATCACTGGAGGTTTTTAAGAAGAGACTGGACAGCCACTAGTCTGAAATGGTCTAGGGTCTCCTGCTTGAGCAGGGGGTTGGACTAGAAGACTTCCACAATCCCTTCCAGCTCTGTTATTCTGTTATGAGGCACAAATCCAGCTGGGTGACCATGCTCCAGTTGCTTTCTCTCCGTCTTAGAAGGCCACTTCTGGAGGAAAAAAAAAACCTTGCCAAGAAAACTGCCAGGTCTTGCCCAGGCAGTCACCAGGAATCAAAACTGACTCCAAGGGAGAAACAAACACACACCTACACAAAATTTGGATCAGGTAATTTGGATCAAGTAGGCTTTTCAGAATCCGTGAGCCCTTCAGCAGCTCTCTGGAGCATCCCAAGCACTTCCCTGGCAGAATCTCATTAATCCTTGCTTAATCCACGTAAGTCATCCGGGAATCTCAACAAATGTTAGGAGGAAGCCTGACCTGCTGGTGAGCGGCCTGCATGCCAAACGGACTCTACATTTCTGAAGTCCATCAAAAGATTCCTCTGTCTTTTCTTCTCCCTGTGACGCAAAGATGCCTATTTTAAAGTACGTTGCCTCATCTCTGGTCCACTGAAAAAGCATCTTAAAGTTGTGTATAATTTAGTTGCGTTTAGTTGTCTAAAGGCTTCTGAAACAATACGATCTGTCCAGCTTAGTTACAGAATAGAGTTGGAAGGGATCTTGGAGGTCTTCTAATCCAACCCCCCCTACTCAAGCAGAAGACCCTAAACCAGGGGTGTCAAACTCGCAATGTCACAACTTTTTCCCCACTGCCAGCAATGGGGTGGGTGCAGTTTCAGCGTGACACATCTGGCCCATGGACCAGCAGTTTGACACCCCTGCCCTAGACTATTCCGGACTGCTGCTGGTATGCGTGTGCACACACACACCTTCAAGTTGCGATCTTAACCCTATGTGGCCCTTTTGTGGCCCTGAGCCACAGGAGAGAAGAGATAGCTGGCCTCTGCAGGGTGTCAGTGCTGGCTTCATGCGAGCTCCTTTTGTGCACAGGTTTAGTACTGTTTTGAAAAAGTGCTAGACCTGGAATAAAAAAAATACACAGTACAGTTCTTTGTTTGGGTCAGTATCAGTCCTCTGGTTCATGGTGGCCAGCTTAAATTAGGAAGGAAAGTTGGTGTTAATATCCAGCTTGAGAATGCAAATAAAACTCCAGGTTCATTCCGTTTCCGAAAATCTTACTGTTTATTGAATACACGGCAGGGTAATGTTGAAGCAAAACTAACTCTGAGGTTCCCAGAAACCAATTCATAGAATTAAACAATAATTTCCCCAGCCAAACCCCCAACCAGGGCTGGCTGGGGAATTCTGGGAGCTGAAGTCCACACGTTTTAAAGTTGCCGAGGATGAGAACCACTGAATTAGCGAACAACACAGTGTCCCATTCAGCCCGCCTCCTCAAGGTGTGCCATTTCATTCCACAAGAAGTTATTTCACAATCCAGATTTGACCCTCTTGGTCTGCCTGTAATGGCACAAGCCGGCTTTCCTAACAGCCGGGAGGCTGAGCCATGGCAATCAGTAGGCAACGTGCAAAACTGCGCTGGATCAATTTGCCAGCCAATTTGCAATGACGCATTCATTACCTGGTGATTATCGGAGTAACTTAACACAACTGGCTTCCTCCAGGCCTGGCAGGGCAGTTTGAGAAAAACGATTTAAATCAGCTCCAGTTGCAAAACCCACCCCAGCCTTTCGGAACAGTTTTTGCAAAAACCTATGCAGCCTGGGGGACATTAGTGGGGCGCAAAGTCACACTGACCTTATCCAGAGTGTGTAAATTTTTAAGAGAAATGTTTATAGGCAGAGTATGTTTCCTGTTCTATTCTAGGCTAGTTTTTTTCTGACTGCAAACACGGTTTCTTAATGGGTATAAAGTTAATTAGACCAGGCAAGAGCTGCTTTGCTGCTGATGTGATTTCTGAAGTCTCCAGTATAAATTTTGCTTTTTTTGCAGCCCACTGCTGGTTGTAATGTGAATATTAAGTGATGCCCTCCAGGATTGGCGGCGATTATAACACAATCAAGGTCTGTGCACCAATTACTAGCTTAATCACGGGGAGAGAAATGGAGTTGGAAAGATCACACGTGCCCTGTAATGTTGGCTTAGAGCTGGACTCTTCAACTTTTGAAACACGGAAGTGACAGCTGCACCGTTGTTTCATATCGCACGTCTCCAGTGAAGTTGTGGCTTGTTTTTGCTGTGATTCTTGGCCGTGTCTCCTCTCACTTGGTGCCAGCCCCTGAGCCCGGCTTCCCTCCAAATAGGGGAAGGGCCCCCACCCCGATGATCTTACGAAACCTGGCCCCGGGTGTCTGTGGTGTCTTGTGTTTTCCCTGGAAGTAGACAACCTTTCTCTTATTGAATACAGGTAGTGTCCAACTTATGACACAACTGATCCCAAAGCTTCCACTGCTAAGCAAGGCAGTTTTTAAATGAGTTTTGCTCCATTTTGTGACCTTTTTTGCCACACCTGTTAAGCACATTCCTGCAATTCTTAAGTGAATCACGAGGTTGTTAAGCAAATCTGCCTTCCTCCCTTGACTTGGCTTGTCGGAAGACAGTTGGAAAGGTCATGAAAGGTGATCATGTGGCCCCAGGAAGGTGCAACTGTCATAAGTACATGCCAGTGGCCAAAAGGCTGTATGGATGTTGCAATGGCCATAAGTGTGAGGACCAGTCATAAGTCACTTTTTTCAGTGCCACTGTAAGTTTGAACAGTCACTAAATGAATGTAAGTCAAGGACTACCTGTGTGCTAAAAATATATATATATAATGGACAAATTGACCAGATTAAACTATAAATTGGTTTAATCTAGTCTGATGTCCAGTTCAAGAACTTTCTTTCTTTCTTTCTTTCTTTCTTTCTTTCTTTCTTTCTTTCTTTCTTTCTTTCTTTCTTTCTTTCTTTCTTTCTTCCTTTCTCTCTCTCTCTCTCTCTTCCTTCCTTCCTTCCTCCCTTTCCTTCCCAATATCCAACAATAGTCTCTGTTGTTATGCAGACTGGTCTTTCTCTCAGCATCAAAATTAGGACAGTTTTTTTCATTATCATCAAGTAAGCCCAACAAGGTTAGAAATTCATGGCTAGAGGCTGAACAATTAAAACTTTAAAACTAACTAGCATAGTAGTAACCTTTGTTGTGGATGCCTAGAGATCAAAACTTTAAAAAAAAAAGGTGACTGCATAAGCCTCTGCTAAACAAAGGAGGAGGTGTTGCCTTCACGGTCTCTCTGCTTGTGTGTGTGTGTTTAGGGTCGTGGTGGGAGTCATGCAGTCTTAAGAGGATGAAAAAATCCTGCCTCCCCTCCTTCCCGGCCAGGGATAACCGAGCACATCTGGACCTGAGCAGGTTGGGGAAGCTCGATCCAGGGTGCCTTAAGTGCTGGTGTTGCATTATTGATGCCCTTGGCTCGCCTCCGGAGGTTTTGCCTGCAGAAGAGAAGTGAGGCCATAAATCAGCCAAGCCAAGAGCCAAGTTAGAGGAGAGCAGAGCCCGAGTGCTTATTGAAGTTGCAGAACCCGGAAGGCGAAGAACGGGCTCGGCCAGGAACTGAAGAGGGAACAGGAAGGAGCCGATGGCCACAGGCCTGAAATCGGGGCCGGGCCAGGCTGGTTCTGGAGCAAGAGCGGAGAGCCTGAGGTCTCCGAGCACTGAATGGACGGAGTTCGCAAAAAAGCTGCCTTGCTCCTCTTCGGTCTGGGGTGGAAGGCACACCCCCCCCAGCCCCACAGACGGGCCACAGCCTGGGGGAAGCGCACAGGGCAGTTGGGCCGAGGGAAGAAGGGCGCACTCTTTTTCTGGGGTGCCCCTTCTTCAATTTGCCCGGTATTTCTTGGCAAGCAGTAAAACCAAGACTGTGGGGAGACTGTGTGAAAGCGGGAATCTGAGTGTCCCAGGAAGGTCCAGGAGAACTCGGGAAAAGAGGCTCTGGGATAAGCACTAGCTCCTTTTTTCTAGCCTCTTTTTCCTCTTCTATGATCATTAGAGGTGCTCTAGTGGCCATCCCAAATTCTGATGGGTCACGGCATGTCCCAAGACAGGCTGTCTGGGGAATTCTGGGAGTTGAAGTCCACACACCTTCACGTCTTCAAAGTTGAGAAACGCAGCCCGTCTGCTTTGCAGGTAGAGCATGCAGATAACAAAGAAGAGAAAGGACGCCACCTTCCCCTACCTGGAAGAAAGCGAAAAGTAATGAACAGCTGGTTCTCCGTGCTGCTGGTAGCTTTGTGGGAGGAAAGAAAGGCGAACGGAGGCGGCACCACCTCCAAATACCGTTTTGCTGGCAGCTCATTGGACTAAGAAATCCTTATTCATTCCCGTGTCCTGATGCACCCATCTGAAGACCAAATAAAACAAATCCATTTCTTCCAGCAGGTTTCCCCAGGGATTCTTGCCTAAACTCCTTGATATGTGAAGTTTCTAAAAAAAAAAAAAAAAAACCCAGCTTGCCAGACTCTTTAGATAATAATGGTCACCAGATTTGGAACAAGCCAATCCAGTGTTATCTTGCTTTCTGTATCTCAGTTCAAATTCTTTCTAGGGTTTGGCGGAGGGAATCTTGGGATTCTTCCCTGAACAAGCCAGGTGGAGGCTGGACAGGCATCGGGGTTTGAAGCCCTTTAGAGAACAGGAAGTTAGAGTCGGGGACTCAAAGGGCTCCTTCCCGCAAGATGTCTCTGGGATTCAGTTATCAAACATGGAACAGAGACCAAGTTTCCAGCACACACCTTTAATCTTGAATGAGACGCTGGCGAGAGAGTTTTCATGGCAGGGCCGGTAGACATCACAGCACCTTTGGAATTTTGGTATTTCTGGGGGACACAATTGTTCCTCTGGGACTTGCTGCCCTCCGAGTATTTTATCCCTAAAGTTTCAAGGCCTCCCTGTTGTTGCTTTCCCTTTCTCACTCGTTAACCGGAGGTCAAGCTCCCGAAGTTGGCTGAGGAACCCCGTGTTTGGGCAGACTCCTCGGTGTTCTCGCACAATCTTTAAGGCCTCCACGAGGTTCTTGTTTTCGTAGATCATCAAGAAAGCCAGCACCAGGGTGGCTGAGCGGCTTATCCCCATGGCACAGTGAACCAATACTTTGCCTGCAAATAAGAAAGTAATATGGTTAAGATACGTCCCCACATCTAGGCAATACAAGGTCTTCCTAGAATTGTGGGAAATGCTGTAAATCTGTGTCACAATCCTATTTTTTGTTCTTTTTTTTTTAACATGGTCACCTCTGACAAAATCATCTATCCTGTGCTAATAAATAATGATGACATCTGGAGAGTTATTGGGATGGTTCCGTCACCCATTAATGTTAGTCATCCATTCGAGGCTTAAGACTTACTAATGTGTACATTCAGCTGACATAGCTGTCATTCGTAGCAGAGGACAGAATGAAGAAGCTTCAGCGGTTTCTTATTCGCCTCCATTTCTTCTTACTTCTACATCCATACTGCATCTTCTCTTTTTCCTTCTGGTATTGTGTAGATATTCTGTATATTGAATTTATTTAATTTCCCTGACAGAATAACAGAGTTGGAAGGGATCTTGGAGGTCTTCTAGTCCAATCCCCTGTTCAGGCAGGAAGCCCTACACCATCTCAGACAAATGGCTGTCTGGTCTCTTCTTAAAAACCTCCAGTCTTGGAGCATTCACAGCTTCTGGAGGCAGGTTGTTCCACTGGTTAATTGTTCTCACTGTCATGAAATTTCTCCTTAATTCTAGGTAGCTCCTCCCCTTGGTTAGTTTCCATCCGTTCCTTGCTGCCCTTGGCTGTTCCTCTCTGCTCTTCCCTGCTATCCCTTCTCCTAAGGCACTTTCTATGGGGCTCCCAAGGAGTCACCCTTTCACAGGTCCCAGGCTGTGGACATTTCCCTACTATCGACTGATCGTGTCTTCACAGCAGCACCCTGCAGTTCTTGAAATAATGGAAAAATTACACTGTTACTTTTGGCACAAGGCTGACTGGATAACTCTGGAAGATGCTATGTTACTTCAGAAATGGCCTGAAAACCTCCTCGCCATTAACAATACCCAGCATAGGGTACATTGGAATAATTTTCTTCTGCCCAGCTTTTCACAGATAAATTCAGGCCTCGGAGCTCTGTAGTCTAACTTTATAACCTACCATGCAAGGCAAGGTCCAGTATAACAAGACTTTAAATAATTTAAAAATGGTCTGCTGCCTTGCTATCATTTACTGCTTAACTGGTTCTATTTTGCTGATGTACGTAGAACAGATGAGGACCCTTCAGTGACTATCTCAAGCGATAACATCATCCGTGCTAGCAAGGGTGGAGTTTACTCCCTGTTATTATTAGATGTTGCAATACAGATTTTGACTGAAATGTAAGGACATGTAAGGTAGGATATATGTACATGTTTTAGAATTTCTGTATTTAAAATGTTTGTGGGCTGTCTTTTTCTTATCCCTTTTCTCGGCAGGGGGTTCTGTAGCTCAGGGGTCCCCAACCCCCAGTCCGTAGACCAGTACCGTGCCACAGCATGCCAGCAACCGGTCTGCACAAGCAAGCAAAGCCCCATCTGTGAGATGCAGGCAGCACACAAAACCACACACCCTCCGGTCCTCAGAAAAACCTCTCTCCACGGAACCGGTCCCTGGTGCCCAGAAGGTTGGGGACCTCTGCTGTAGCTCCCCAGGGTGACATCTGTGATCCCAGGAAGCGAAGTTGTCTGTTCAGGGTCATCTTTGGCCATCCTAGCAAAGCCTGAAGGACTCCTTGATCCTTGCTTTCCATTCCTATCTCATTTTCCTTGCAAGGCAAATTTTATTTTCCAAAATTGAGGAACAAAGACCCCTGAACCCTCCACCTCTTGGGCATTCCTGCTTAGTTGGATCAACTGAGAATAAATTCCTCTGGGGTCTCTGCACCATCCACAGCAGCAGGAGAAGAAACTTGAGTCCTCTCTCTAAATATAGCTACAAAGGAAGATGTTTAGCAAGGAACAAACCCTGGCTTGGAAAAAATGTAGGAAGATTTCTCAACTTAGAGTTAATTTTGTGTTTGATACTCTCTAATTGGGTTGCTTCCAAGCGCTAAACCCAGCATTTGGTTTTTAGATGGAATTTGTGCACTTTTATGTCCTTCTGAAAGGATGAATGTTGACACTCAGAATGTTGGCATTGCAAGTCTGTGTGTTACTAAATGGTGGTGAGACCCCAAATAATATTAAAACTCAACTCAGAAAGTCTTAACTTTGGTGTGTGAATGCCTCAGTTTGGCAAACAAAGGTTTTCCCAAACTAACCCAACAGCTCTAACACAAAGGAGCAGGAACTCTTTGGCTTTGACCAAAATGCCCAGGTCCACTTCTCTGTTCTTCTACTAAGGGACAACCTAGTCCCCCAGTTGAGCCTCTTCTGACACCCCCTCCTGCACTTTTTCAGCTCTTAAATTTCCACTTTTTTTCCCCAGAAAAACACAGGTCATAGGTGAGTAGTCAACTGAAAAAAAGTTCAGAAACTTGCTTTGTTTGTTAAAACAAAAAAACAAAACAAAACATGTGACTCATCTAAGCTAAAGAAAAGTTTGTCTGTCCTGGAAGATTTCTTTGGGAGGAAATAGAGTATCAATATCATAATTTCCGGGAGCTGAGGTCAACTTCTCTTAAAGGTTGAGAAGTCCTACTCTGGCCAATGAAAGAGAAACCAGCTGATGGCAGCTATGCCTCCAGGGAATGTCCTCGTCTGTCCTTCTTGGATGAGAAGTGAAACGTCTTCAAAGAAAAACAAGGAAGTCCATCTCTGGGACAGAGATGTTGGATGGGAGATGATAACCGGGACACCCGAGAAGATGCAGCCCACTCTGTTTACCTCTGGGCGAGTTCAGCGCTGCCCTGATGTATTTAGCCGTTGGGTAGAAGTAAATGCTGAGATCAAACTTGGGATCGTCGTCGGCTTCCACTCCGTAGTAATCAACTGGCAAGTCTCGGTAGAATTTGGCTCCCGTATCAATGTGGAATCGTCCCGCAGCCGCATTCACAATGTGGGAGATGCCCATCCGGCGTAGCTGATCTATATCCCGGGCTATGTACCTGCAAACAAGGGCTAATTTCATTATTCTACATTTCTCCCCACCTTGGAGAGGAGTTGAGTGTTCATGCAGACATTAAAAGGGTTCAGTTGACTTAGTTAACTAAATACAGAGGCTTAAATTTAACCCCCAAAGGACTCTGGCATCCTTGCTGCACCGGTTAACGCTGTAGGGAAACATATATATCTAGGCTCCCTGGTGCTCCTGAGCTTGGTTGATTTTTTACAGATGTTTCATTACCCAACTCGGTAACATCCTACCCAACTAGCACTGATGATGTTATCTACCTGGGTAATGAAATGTCTGCAATAAAATAACTAAGCTCAGAGAGCACCAGGGATGCCACAAATATTCTCTTTTAGAGGAACACACATTCACACATACAAAGATGGTTGGATGTAAAATGTGATCCTACGATTGAAGTTCCTTCCAGCTGAGGCCCCAGTTTCTAAGTAGTGCAATTAAAACCTGCCAAGTCTGTTTTAGAAGAGAAAACTGGTGTAAAACAATTCTATATGCAAATAAAAGACTCTTTTTAAAACACAAAAGCACTTCTTCCAAGTATTGTGTAGAAATGTATCTAACAAAACCTCCCTCTCTCTCTCTCTCTCTCTCTCTCTCTCTCTCTCTCTCTCTCTCTCTCTCTCTCTCTCTCTCTCTCTCTCTTTCTTTCTTTCTTTCTTTCTTCCACCATTGGGAGAAGAAAAGCAGGATTCGGGAATAGTGCTCAGTGATGAGAGATTTTATCTGATTCCATTGTCCCATTTTCAAGAGCTAAACAGGTTGTGCTTTAGGCACCAGGCTTTTAAACAACCACTCAGCCTGGAGCCGGAAAGTCTCGGATGTTTGTATTGCTTTACTTATTGATCCATTTGCTTAAATGCCATAATCGGGTTTTCAGCTGAATGGCGTACAATAAAGTCATAATAAGACCGTGGACACAATTCATAAAAGCACTAATCAAGACCTGCCTAAAAGCAGACAAAGGAATCCTTCCCTTTTATCCCTCTGGGCTGCAACAATCTTGATAGGGCAGGAAAGAGTTAAGAATGTTCTGCATCTCTTTTGCTGCTAATTAGTGATTGGAGGTTTGCAACCCAAATTTGGTAGCCCTGTTGAATTTATGGGAAGGGGGGGGGGGGCAAACAGAGCTGAGAAGAAACAAAAATGAGTAAAAGCATGTCAAGAGTTTTAGGGAATTTTCTTATTGTGCAGCGGGTTGGACTAGATGACCTCCAAGGTCCCTTCCATCTCTGTTATTCTAATAGATGGGAACTATAAACGCATTAGACTAACAAGCATTCGTTTGGTGACCATTGAAAAATGCCAAAACTAGTTCTTGTCGCAGGATCCCCATGTTCAGGTCATCAACTGGGTCAGGAATTGTGGGAGTTGAAGTCCACCAGTCTTAAAGTTGCCAGGTTTGGAGACCCCCGTTCTAGAAAATCATTTGTTCAGCTTCAACCAGTGGGGCAGGGAACCCTTCCCTGCTGCAAGAATTCAGCTGTTGACCTGAAATAGCCTCAAGATGAGCCTCCATGTTTCCAGCTACATCCTTCAATGCTTCTCTTTCTATTGCCCATATTTGCTCTTTCCTTTGATAGAAGGAACTCTTCGCTTCTGTTCTGTGGTCCTGGGAAATCTCACTTGGTCTTCCGAGTGAGCTCTATGCTCTGACACGGCCCTTCCCTCTTCCCTCTGGGAACCCTCGTCTCCCTGCCCATTGGGAGTGTACCACATGTTGCCTAATTTTTATCATCTGTGGTGCTAAACTAGACGTGTTCAGTATCCATGTGGATCACAGTATTAAAACCAGAACAAAGAATAGAGCAGAACAGAACAGAACAGAACAGAACAGAACAGAGTAGAGTAGAGTAGTAGAGTAGAATAGTAGAGTAGAATATAGAATATAGAATATAGAATATAGAGTAGAGTAGAGTAGAATATAGAATATAGAATATAGAATATAGAATATAGAATATAGAATAGAATAGAATAGAATAGAATAGAACAGAACAGAACAGAACAGAACAGAACAGAATAGAATAGAATAGAATAGAATAGAATATAGAATAGAATAGAATAGAATAGAATAGAATAGAATAGAATAGAATAGAATAGAATAGAATAGAACAGAATAGAACAGAATAGAATAGAATGCCACCGGCAAGAGACGGTCCCTCAGAGTAGTCGAAGGTAAACCCGGTGAAGGAGGATGGGGCTTAATTCCAAGGAAGAAGGCTAAGATGGCCAGCCTGCTTGTCCTTCTTCCCCTTTTCTCCCCTTCTCTAAGAGGAAACTTGCAATACTTTTCAGGATCAGCAATGAATGCCCATTCACTTACAAATCTCCAATATAAAGGTTAGGCCAGACTTCGTTGACATTGGCCCGGCAAGGAACAGGTGACCACAACATGCGCTGCAGCTCGCCCAGTTCTGGCGTTTGGTAGCTCTGCCGGCTGCTCAAGGAGCGACTGGATGTTCTTTGTAGCCCGGGGCGTCTCAAGTCGCCTGCATTTAGCGAAGAGTAGGACATTCTGGAAGAGACTGGAAAGAAGAGCTCCTCCATGGAGATCAGTGTGGAACATGTGAGTAAAGGCAAGACATAAAAGGTAGGAGGAGACACGATAGGAAATTGGCTTTGGGGACGAGGAACACACTTTCTGATTGCACGTATGGGCCACGCGCCATTTCATGAAAGCAGGAACCACGGAGGTTGCTGTCCACCTCCTCCAGACCCTCACAGGTCCACCCCTCGCCCTTGTTTTGAAGTTCGGCTTCAAAACTGTCATTTTCCTCCTGCAGCCATCTGAGTGGATGGTTTGCCACACTGCCGTCTGACCTAGTGACAATCCTAGATGCGACTGTCGCAGTGGGTGGCACATCTCGTCCCCACCCTCCGGCACCAGGTCACTGCCCCTTGCAACCGTGTCCTCTAGCTCCTGGGAATTCTGGGAGATGAAGTCCACAAGTCTTAAAGTTGCCAAGGTTGAGGACCCCTGTCCTATATAACATCTTTGTCAATATGATTCTTGTATTCTGTCAATATTAAATCCATATCTAAACCAGCCTGATTTTCAGCTAAATTCGTTTCTATCTCTTCTTTTAAGCCTTCATTTATCAGCTAGTCTACTCTAAAGACTAGATTCTAGGCACATTGTTGCCAAAGATCCTCAAATGCATCCAGAGTTAAAATTTTTTTACTCCATTATGTATTATCAGGAATTCTCTTTTAATTATAATCTTTAATTCTATCTGGCTGTTTCTTGTGACCAGCCTTCCAGGTTTTTCCTTATCATGTTTTCCCAAGAAGAGATTGTTTTTTTACATTTAAAGGCAAATCTTTGTAAATTTTAATAAGATTTTAAAGAAACCACAGGGAATATTCTTCTAACTCGCCAAAGTTTTGTTTCCACTCAGTCTGGTCTTTTAGACCATTTAAAAACTGTCCAAAATCAACATTCTAATCACCTTCTTCCTCCTTAATTGCAAGTAAAAAAAGAGTTTTTCTTAAAGTTTTAAGCTTACATAAATTTTTGTGCCAGTGTAATAAAACTTATTTTTCTAACCTTTTGCATGCTAGATGGTAGTAAGTCCTTTTAAAGAACCATTATATTAATCAAAACTTTTCTATAATGTTTTGAAGACATCTAATTAAATTAATACAGGTTACAAACCTCAGTTGAAATTTCTTCAGGAATTTAGAAAAATTGCATAATTATCTCCGGGCCTTTGATAAAAATGATGCAGCATCAAAAAATAATTCCACTTTTTTGTATTGTTAGTGTTAGAGTTACTATAGCAAAATGCTGGAAATAGATTTGTTTAGGTGAATTAATTAATTAATTAACAAATAATCTTGAGTAATCCTTTGAAACGGATGAAATTAAATATATTCCCAAACTGTGCATTTTTAATGCCTGCTCCCTGTGTATTTATTGCTTTATTTTCAATGTTTTGTTGATGCATTGTATTAAACCAACATTAAAAATAATAAATCATACCTTTTTTCTTTGCTGTCTGACTCACTTGCTGTAAAACTAAATTTCAGTTAAAAACTCTCAAAATTATTAACTCTGATCACCCTTTGCAAATTCTCTTATTTGGGCTTGTTGGTTAAGAATGGGGGCAGCTGTCCTTCTGATCAGATTATAATTGTTTTTGTTACTCATTACTTATATGACATGAAAAGGCTATGAATAATCTAAACACGTACTAAATAATACCAGTTTAACATTCTACGGACGGAAGCAGCGCTTGGCTGCAAACAGGATCAAGGAGAGCCCTGGGAAATGGGAACAGATGTTTTAGGCAAGTACTTCAACCAGCTTTGATCAACTTCATTAACATATTCCTGACTTCTTCTTCTTTTGAGCGAAGAAAGAAACCTTGGGTGACTTGAAGGGCAGGGTCCTTTTTTTATCATTTTTATGCAACACTTATAGAAACACACTGGGGCCAACCATAACACAAATGTTGGAGAAATTATAAACTGAATTATTAGCCTGGGGAAAAAAAATCTATCTCTGAAAGAGAATTTTTTTTTCTCAATCCTGCCATAACCCATCCTATCAAATATCCAGTGAGGGTTGATAGCAATCATGTTTCCTGTGGAAATGTTGGATGTGTTCGTCAAATAGGTCATCCAGATTGATTTTTGTTACAAGTCTCTGAAGTGGCTTCACTTATCATAAAATAGATGAGGGAGGCTGAGTCACTTTATGGCTGGGGGCTACGTATAACATTGAAAGAGAGCTGGTAGCTGAAGTGACTAAGATCCTGGGATAAGCCTTTGATTCTCAAAAAAAAAAAAAAATACATTAAGCCTGTTCTATCATTTATGAATGTTTATTCATGAAAAAGAAAGATATATGCCCCACTTACTAGCAACTATAGCCAAAGTGATTATAGACACAATCTTCCATTTCTGGCATATATCCATAACCTTGTTTAATGCTTTAGTCCAGAATATATCTAAGGATCGCTCTTGAACTGAGCTGTTCTGATGATTAATTAATATGTTGCTTATAAACGGAGAGCCAGTTTGGCGTAATGGTTAAAGGCAGCAAACTAGTTACGGGGAGACTGGAAGTTTTCGTCCTATATGAAGAATAGTTGTAGGAACTGGGAATCTCTAGGCCAACGCAGAGAAAATCTAGGGCAAGGGTAGGCAAACTTGGCTCTTTTATGACGTGTGGACTTCAACTCCCAGAATTCCTGAGCCAGCCAAGGTTGCCTACCCCTGATCTAGGGCAGGGGGTTTTCAACCTTGGCAACTTTAAGACTTGTGGACTTCAACTCCCAGAATTCCTCAGCCAGCAAAGCTTTCTTTCTTTCTTTCTTTCTTTCTTTCTTTCTTTCTTTCTTTCTTTCTTTCTTTCTTTCTTTCTTTCTTTCTTTCTAGAATCAGACATATTCAAGCAGTTGCAGTCAGAGCTTCTTTATCTGCCTTCTCTTAATTGCATGCAGGCAATTAAGATAACCATTTTTAGTCCTGGACACAATCAATTCCTTCAGTTCTTTATTCTTAAACGTGATAAAAAAAAATATGGTATAACACCCTTGTCCTTAATATGGAGAATGCACAATTTGAATAAATGTTCTGGTAATTTGTTTGTTTATATACGATATTAAAATTGCTGGCCAGCCCTGGAAGTCTGTCTGCTTAAGATAAAGATGGAGGGCAAGTCCCCACCATCACAGCTTCTCCTGTCTTTCAAAGCATCTTGAAGATGAGCCCTCGTCAGCTTCAAGCTGAACGGGAATCCCAGCAAACGGTCAGCCTGCTCCCCTCTTTTCCAGAGAAAACACTGCTGGACTGCTGCTCTCAACTACATCATTGCTGAGCCCGGAGTAAATGGATCCAGCCGTCGGAGACGGACAATGTCATTAGAGAGGTCAGGAACGGATTCTGGCAAGCTGCAAAGACCTCCTGTGGATGGACCTAACCTGATACTCCCTCTCCTGTTCCTGAAAAGGTTGTGATCCTACAACATGAACGACGGGAAGGCTTCTGCCTGGATGGCCAGAGGCATCACACCAGGAAAGGCATTCAACTTTTTCCCTAGATGGAGATGCAAAGTTATCACTCAGCTCCTGGAACTGTATAAGGAGACCCCCCTCCTACTTAAACACGTATCCTCAAGCTCCTCTTGATCTTCCTCTGTTCTTAGACTGCACTTTTCAGACCCTCTGCCTGGGTTCTCCCCCCACCTACTCAGATACACCGGCCTCACCCCCGTGACCAAGGACACTTTGCTGAGGAGGAACTGGCAGGAACCGAGCCAGCTAATAAGCAGAAAACCACAGCACGCCTTTGCAGTTGTCGTTCAGCTGTTGGGGGAAAGACACCACTCAACCCCATGCGTCCACCCATCTTCGGCAAATATCAGTTTGTCAACAAGCTCGAAAGTACTTGCCTTTTGGGGGGTCCGGCTTCTCCGGCTGCTTGGGACGGTTTTAGATCATGACATTCTTCTGGCGTTTCCTTCTGGGTTGCTGGTTACACAACAGTTTCCCTGCCCTGTTAGCTGCATGTGATTGATTCAACGGCTATTTTTAATGGCGTTAATTATAAACCGTGGTCTGTGTCCCCCCCACCCCCACCCCGGTAGCGGACTTCCAAATATTTCAGGGCGAGAGGCAGCTGGGCCCGCCTTGGAAAGGAGCCCATCTTCTGAAATAGCCTCAGCTCTGGATGACCTTCCAGAGAGCTTCGGGTCTCACGTTCCCACGTGAGGGTGTGGAAGGGACCATTCCAGGAACTGCGAGTTCTCCAGTAGGGAGAAAGCGAACGGGGGGGGGCTGTCATGCGATCCTCCCCCCCCCCCCCCGAACAAAGGCGAGAGTGTTTGAAAGAGAAGGCGGCTTTTGTCTTGCTGCGATACTTTGCATTCCTTTGTCTGCCACATATTAGCCTAAGACTGTGATCATATTTACTAATCAAATCTAGATAGAGCAGCCTCTTGTCAACCCCCTCCCCGTGGGACTCTGGGCTGTGTGGCACACAAGAACAATCCAGATGCAGGGGACTGATCAGGGTCTCAAGTTGAAAATAATATGGGGATCCGGAGTCTCCGGGGAGTTGTGGTTCAAAACACTCAAGGGGTGACGGCAGCCAGGGGATCAAAGCGCCTCTTGGGGCCTGACGCCTATAAAATAAGAGCTGGGGCTTGGATTACACAGTCACGGCTCTGACCCACACCTGCACGGGTGCCCTTGAGGATGACTCCTACAAGAGCAGAGGATCTTTTTTGGAGAGGAGGGGGGGCTTGCCTCCTTCATCCATCACAAGACGTAGCCTTTACTGCAGCCTCAACAAAGTCTGCTGGTGAGAGACACCAGTCCCAGTGTTGCGTCCTTGGCGGGAAAACAGACACGAGAAGCAGCTGGAGTCCTCAGGTTCTTTTATTCAGCGTTCAGCTTACAGGAAGATGGCTTCAGCTCAGCTCAAACGCCTCGCAGCCCCTTATATAGGCAACTCCCGGGTAAATGGGTTACTTTTCCCGCGCCAGCACCCGCGCATGCGCACGGCGCTGGCGACAGCCTGTCTGGTCCCGGGCAGCTTTGCACCTGCCCGGGACTGCCTGCAAACGCCCGAGCCGTTTGCAAAGGCTCGGGACATAACACCCCTTTCCCCCGGGCTAAAACTACTACCAACATACAGCATTTATTTTATATAACATTTTGCTCCCCAGTGCTCCCACTGTTTACTGGCCTTTGCCTTGCCAGCAATGTTATGTAGTCTTCTAGGTACTTGGGAGATTTCTTTGCTCTCTGTGACCTTCTTAGCTGTGGGTTACTGGCATAAGTCCCCTGACTGGAGGGAGGCGTGAGCCTATTCTCTCTATTGTGCCCTGGTGTCTTCCAAGGACTGTGCCCCGATGCCTGGCCTGCTTGCTTGCCCACCGGGCTCGTCAGGCCAGGGCTTCTGTTGCTTTGTGACCTGGTTGACCTGCCTAGCTGTAGACCCTCAGGCCCCTTGAAGTGATAGCCGCTGCTGGGCGTCTCTGTAGGACCTCCTAGGTCAGTCCAAGACCTGTCAGGAGGCTGTCCATTCCCTGAACCCCATTCTGTGTTTGGGCTCATGTGGGTTTCTGTACTCTCCCAAAACTCAGGTGTCCCCTGATTTGTGCTAGGGGTGTTGTAGTCGGGACTTGGTTCCTCGACTAGCTCTGTGTATGTTTGACCCCTCTGTAGGATTTGGGGTAAGGTCAGGCCAACTTTGGGGATTGTGTGCCAGCTCTCTTGCGGGGAATGATTTGTTGGGATGCCCCCGGGTATCCTCCGTGACTGGAGTGCTGTGTGATATGTGTGGAAAGTGAGTATGCCCCCGGGGTGACTCCCTGGCTGGAGTAGGCGTGGATGCCTGTTGTGTGGGTAAGCTCCATGACTTCCTTTTCGGAGCAATTGCAGAATCTTGGGACGGGCCGTCTGTGGCTCCCTCAGTGGAGATGGGCAGTAACTCTTGCCCTTCCCTTTGCTCCAAAGGGTCCCCCTCCCCCCCTGGAAAAGACCCAGGAGTTTCAGCAGAAAAGTCCCGCCTAGAGCGGAGTTGGTCGATGTGCCGACGCAGGACACGACCGTTGTCCAGGGCAACCTCGTAGGAGAGAGGACCTGTGATCCTGGACACAGAAGCGGGGACCCATGTATGACCAGGCCCGTAATTGCGAGCCCAAACCGGGGCACCCACAAGTAGTTGTCTAGGTGCCCTAGGATGTGAGGTAGATGAAGGCAGTCTGTCCGGATGCAACCGGTCAAGTCTCGTAGTAAGTTGGCGCCCCCAACGAAGTTCAGCTGGACTTCTCCCTGTAGAAGTGGACGGTGTGGTGCGATAAGAAAGGAGAAAGTCAGCCAACCTGTGATGCCAGTCCCCGTAGGTGAGTCTCTTCAAGGCGTCCTTTGCGATGCGCACCATGCGTTCAGCCATACCGTTGGTGGAAGGGTGAAAGGCGCAGATGTGGCATGACGAATCAGGTTTGCCTGTAAGAAAGCTTGGAATTCGGAGGAGGTGAATTGAGGGCCGTTGTCAGACACAATGACATCTGGCAGCCCGTGTGCAGCAAAAATCCCCCTCAGTACCTGAATAGTCTTTGCAGTGGTGGTGGCGAGACAGGCACAACCTCAAGCCATTTTGAATGGCTGTCAACAAGGACCAAGAAGAACTGGCCCTGAAAGGGCCCAGCGTAGTCAATGTGCACCCTAGACCATGGGGACTGTGTTTCCTCCCATTTATGCACAGGAGCTTGGGGCATCTCTGGGCGAGATCGTTGGCACATGTGGCATGCGTGTACCTTAGCCTCAATATCTTTATCTAAAGCAGGCCACCACAAGTGGCTGCGTGCAAGAGCCTTCATACGAACAATGCCAGGATGACCCTCGTGGAGGGATTCTAAGACCCTAGTCCTCATTGAGGTGGGAATGACAACTCTGTTTCCCCAAAGCAAACAACCCTGAGAAAGGGACAATTCGTTCCTTTTGGACCAGAAACTCTGAAACTCAGGACTAGGGCAGTGCTCAGGCCACCCGGACAGGACCCAGGAGCGGACACGTGAAAGTGTGTGATCTGTACCTGTTTCAGCGGTAACATCCCTGGCACTAAGAGGAAGCTCGGGCAAGGCTTGGATTGATAGAATGTTGACAGCTGGCGCGGGGTCAGCTTCTACTACTGGCAGAGGCAACCTACTGAGGCCATCAGCATGGCCCATTTCTTTCCCAGGCTTGTGGAGTAATGAAAAATCATATGCAGACAAAAAATAGACCACCTAAGCATTCTAGGGGAAATGATGTGGGGAGTCTGCTTACGTGTGGTAAACAGTCCCAGCAGAGGCTTATGGTCAGTGAAGACCGTGAAATGCCTGCCATATAGAAAATCGTGGAATTTTTTAATTCCAGCAACAACAGCCAGAGCCTCCCTGTCTATCTGAGCGTAGTTGCGCTCGGCAGAAGACAATGTTCTGGAGTAGTATGCAATAGGAACCTGAGTTCCATCAGACCTGAGGTGACTCAGGACAGCTCCAACCCCGTAGGGGGATGCATCACAAGCGATGCACACAGGAAGAGACTCGTTGAAATGTGCAAGAACACTGTTAGAAGTGAGCAAGGCCTTGACTTCTTTAAAGCAAGCCTCATGTGCTTGTGACCACAGCCACACAGCTTGTTTGTCTAGTAGCCTGTGAAGAGGCTCAGCTACACTAGCTTTATGTGGAAGAAAAGAATTGTAGAAATTCAGGAGGCCTAAGAAGGCCTGAAGTTCGGCCTTAGACTTTGGCCTGGGTGCTTCTAAAATAGCAGTTAGTTTGGATTCAGCAGGATGAATCCCAGCAGCATCAATTTTGAATCCCAGAAATTCAGTAGAAGGCACCCCAATCTTGCATTTGTCTTTTCTGAGCTTAAGGCCTGATTTCCTGAATCTTAACAGGACAGCCCTAAGCCTTTCAGCTAGAATGTGTGTGGAGTCTCCTGCAATCAAGACATCGTCAAAGTAGGGGCAGACCCCTGGTATACCTCGTAGTGTGTTTTCCATTACGCTTTGGAAAATCCCAGGAGCGACATTCACTCCAAACTGTAGCCTTTTTACCTTAAAGGCTCCCCTGTGGGTCACAATGGTCTGAGCTATGGCAGCATCATCATCAACAGGCAGCTGTTGATATGCTTGAGCTAGGTCAAGCTTTGCAAAAACACGCCCCCCCTTGAGAGAGGCCAGGATGTGACTGACCACAGGAACAGGATAGGCATGTTGCTGCAATGCCTTATTGAGTGTGCATTTGTAATCAGCACAAATGCGAATGTCCCCATTTGCCTTTAGAGGCGTGACAATGGGGGTCTCCCATGGGCTGGAATCAACAGGTTCTAGGATTCCTTGTTGGATTAGTTTGTCTAATTCAGTGTCAATCTTACTTTTTAAAGCAAAAGGGACCCTTCTTGCTTTAATCCTAATGGGAGTGACAGTGGGGTCTAGCTTTAAGGACACAGGTGGTCCTTTGAATGTGCCCAGCTGGGGGCTGAAAACATCTGCAAATTCCTTGCAGACTTCCTGTAGGTCGAGTGTTTGTAAGCTGTTGAGTCCTGTGACGTGTATCCCCAGGGCCTCAAACCAATCGAGTCCTATGAGACTCGTTCTTTCACCCCCTACTACTAACAAGTCTAGTGGACCTTCAAAACTCTTGTATTGCACGTTAAGGGTGGCCTCCCCCTTAACACACACTCTTGAGTTCTGAAAATCAGTTAATACAATATCAGAAGGCCTTAACTTGGCCTTAGTCCCACTACTGGAACAAATCTTCCTAAATGTATGCAATGAAATGATGGAAAGGGCAGACCCTGTGTCTAGTTCCATAGATAATGGAACCCCTTGTAGCTTCACGTTGAGTGACAGCTTTTTCTTCATGGGCTTGTGTGTGCCTGTCCTACAGATGTTTCTACGCGAAGCGCAAAAACCTACCCTATTCTGGCTGGGGACTCTGGTACCCTTCAGGCGTTCTTCTTGAGGTTGTGCCTTTCGTCGGCCCAGACACACAGCTGCAATGTGCCCTTGTTTGCCGCATGCCCGGCAGGTAGCGGAGCGGAACTTGCAGTCGGTTCTCCTGTGGCGACCTCCACAGCCGATGCACTTGAGCGGAGCTGAAGAGCTTTCCTTCTGATTTTCTCCCTTCGCGGGGTGTAGACGGTCGACTTCTTCGTCCGGATCCTCCTCGGAGTTTCGTCGGACGTCTTCTTGGTGCACGGACGCACCCTCTGCACTGCTTCTGATCGGCCGCATGTTCTTGACGGCGCCGCCTGCTGCTTCTTCCGCGGTGGCTTCCCTTAAAGCGTCTTGGAAGGATAATTCTTCCTTAGCGAAAAGTCTCTGTTGTAGCTCTCGATGCCTCAACCCGCACACGAATCGGTCCCTCAGTCGTTCCTCGAGGTCCTTGAACTCGCAGGGCTTGGCGGCCTTCCGTAACGCGGCGATGTATTCCTTGACTGACTCACCGGACCGTTGATCCCTCTGCTCGAAGGTGTGGCGCCATGAGATAACGGACACCTTGGGGTGAAAGTGGTCCTTCAGCAGCTTCTTCAGGTCTGCGTAGCTTACAGACTCTACTGGAACAGGTGCTGCAAGGTTTTCTGCGATTTCGAAGGCGTCTTGGCCGCAAGCGCAAAGCAGGGTGGCAGCCTTCAAGCTATCTTCCCTCACTTGGTTTGCCTTGAAGTAGTTCTCCATTCTGGATACGTAGGACTCCCACCGCTCTGGATGTGAGACGTCGAATTCCGCAAGCCTTCCGATTTTCGCCATCTTCGGATCTTCAGGAGACGGGTCTATCAGCCAGCCTACCCCCGAATGCGCACTGGATTGGCGGGCAGCTGCTGAGTCAACACCGTTCCTCTTCCGCCGCTCAGGACTCCTTGGGTAAGCTTACACTTTTTCCTTTCCAGGTAGTGCAAGGCATCCCACCCTCGTCGCCAGTGTTGCGTCCTTGGCGGGAAAACAGACACGAGAAGCAGCTGGAGTTCTCAGGTTCTTTTATTCAGCGTTCAGCTTACAGGAAGATGGCTTCAGCTCAGCCCAAACGCCTCGCAGCCCCTTATATAGGCAACTCCCGGGTAAATGGGTTACTTTTCCCGCGCCAGCACCCGCGCATGCGCACGGCGCTGGCGACAGCCTGTCTGGTCCCGGGCAGCTTTGCACCTGCCCGGGACTGCCTGCAAACGCCCGAGCCGTTTGCAAAGGCTCGGGACATAACACCCAGAAAAAAAGAAAGGAAGAAATAAGACCCCCCAAAAAAAGTCTGGATCGTGGGTGTGGAGACAGCAGCAGAGAAAAATCACAAAATACAAACACCTGCAAAAAAAAGAAGTAAAACAACTCTGGCAAAGGAAAGCAAAGGTAGCACCAATAGTAACAAGTGCCTTGAGTGCAATCCCAAAAACGTCTGGAGCATCTCTTGAACACCTTTGGCATTGACAAATTCACCATTGGTCAATTGCAAAAAGGTAGCTTGACTTGGAACAGCGTAAATCCTGCATCAAGATTTTAATACCATCAAAGAACAACATCTACCTATCCCAAAACCTTGGGAAGGACTCAGTGCCTGAGTCTGGCTGAGGAATTCTGGGAGTTGAAGTCCACAAGTCATCAAAGGGCCAAGTTTGAAGACCCCTGCAGTAGATGAATAAAAATGCCAGATTCAGTCTAAACATCTGGCTGAAAGTATGAGAACCCATCATAATAATATTAAACCATGAATGAAGGCGAATCTATGTGTCCCAGGATCGTGTTCCAAGATCTGATCTGGGTCTATCACCGGGACCAGAGGTTTTGGTCTTACGAGCTTTCAGATGGCAGATCTTCTCTCTCACCAAAATGTTATCTCCCACCACATTCCGGTAGAGAGAAGTTCTCCGAGGATTTTCTCCAGCACAGGTCTGAAAGTTTGGAGGACTATACCTCCGGTCCCAGTAACCGACCCAGATTGGATCCTGCAACATTAATTCCCACAGCAATAAGCATAACTTCCAGCAACACCCATATAACCACTGTAACAAGCTCTTTCACGGAGTCTAGGCTGACCCATAAGAACAACACGGTCATACATTTAATAGGACAAAATTAAATATGCACCAGATTGCAGGGGTAATTGGAGAAGTTCAGAACTATTTATTAGGTAAGTGTCACAAATAATAGCTGGGGTGGGCAGGGTGGAGACAGAGATAAAATCTCTATTGAGCTCCTAGGACTCTTGGTGACTCCGCTGCGGAGTTTTCTTGACCAGCGTTGAGAAATATTTGGCTCTGCCTTCTTCAGAAAAAAAAAATCTCACAGGAATTAATTGCCCAGTTTTTATAAACGTCTTTGAAAAAAAATCCAATTTTTACTTAGTCTTGTGACTCTTGTCTCGACCCTCAAGCAAAAAGATGCAGCCAGATTTAGTTTCATAAACTGGATTTATACTTCCATCTGCTGGTGAAGGAAATCATTACACCTCCTCTTAAAAATCCTTGGTAGATTTTTAAAAATAATTTTATTAACAATTGAAAAACCAAGTAGATTTTCTCAATAATACATAAAGGGAGGGCTAATGTCGATGCGCTTTTAAATCCATCTTATTTGAAGACCTCCATTGCAATGAATAAGACTTCCAAAAGTTCTGCTCCCATTAAACTGAAGAAGTCTTTTCTGGGAAAACATCCCATGGAGATACTTATTTTTTTAAAAAAATATGGGCTATCTGTATTACATAAATAAAATCTTGGAGTTAGGGGACATGAAACTCACTGGATTTATTTGTTTACTAGTTCCAACTCCCTTTTGCTTTCTCCTCCTCCTCCTCCTCCTCCTCTTCTCCTCCTCCTCCTCCTCCTCCTCTTCTCCTCCTCCTCCTCCTCCTCCTCCTCCTCTTCTTCTTCTTCTTCTTCTTCTTCTTCTTCTTCTTCTTCTTCTTCTTCTTCTTCTTCTTCTTCTTCCTTCTTCTTCTTCTTCTTCTTCTTCTTCTTCTTCTTCTTCTTCTTCTTCTTCTTCTTCTTCTTCTTATTCTTCTTCTTCTTCTTCTTCTTCTTCTTCTTCTTCTTCTTCTTCTTCTTCTTCTTCTTCTTCTTCTTCTTCTTCAGAATACTGCAGAATTCCTATATTTGACGATCTATTCAGTCCCCTGTCCTATTAGTTTTATCTCTCTCTCTTTTTTTCCGTTGTTTAATTTGATGTCCAAGGCTCGCAGTTGGCTGAGGAATCCGATGTTTGGACAGATGCCTCTGTGAGAGTCCACTGACTTCAAGGCTTCCACAAGTGTCAGGTTTTCGTGGATCATCAAATATGCCAACACTAAAGTAGCCGAACGGCTTAGCCCCATCGCACAGTGGACAAAGACCTTGCCTGGAAAGACATCACATAAGCAACTTTGAATGCACAATCGTGTACAATAGTGTACAATTAATAGGCCACCAGGGGTGTCCACAAGAAAAATCAAAAAGGGGATTGGGATCATGCCATCAAAGCTTACTTGATTTTTATGCGTTGTGACACACATAAAAAACATTCGGAGCTTTGACTGAATTATCACAACCATAATCTTGATTTTTTTTCCCACCCAACTCTTCAGACACCTCTTTGCAAACTCTCTCCAAACCCTATTGTCTGGTGAATAATCTCAGGCTGAATTTACATGAAATTAATATTACATCATTATTGGAATCTGAATCTTGGTTCTTCATAGCAAGCAAACTCTGCTAGCATAGCACACCAGCTACTAGGAAAGTGGAAAGGATAATCATCCATAATATATTGTTTAAAATCATATCTTCATATAAACTATATAGAACCGTAGAATCGCAGGACTGGAAAGGACCTTGGAGATCTTCTAGTCCAGCCCCCTGTCCATGGCAGGAGACCTTACATCATCCTGGACAAATGGTTATCCAATACTTGGAAGGCTGTCCAATCAAAGTTACAAAAATCGAGATAAGTAAAGTTTTAGAGAGAGTAAAGTTTTTTGTATATCTCTGCTACTTTCTCACAGGGTCTGGATTTTTGTAGTCATACATTTTTGATTGGGTAGCCCTAGATATGTGATTGGATTAAGCCCAGCAATAACCTCTCTGGGCCAAGACAAATAAAGCCTCAGAGCATAAATTGTAACAAAACATATATATCTTATTTGAGGCGGGCAAGGCTGTAACTATTCTCCTTTTTACATGAAATTGTAAGAATCACACACGTGGACGGAACAACATGCTTCAGAGTCCATGTCTTCATTTTCTGTTTAACTCTAAACATCACTGGCTGCAACTTTAACAGGTGGAAATAAGAGAAAGAAAACCCTTTAAAAAAGGCATTACTGTATATATGTACATATGCAATTTCCCACCTATGGATATCATTGTTTCACAATATATTCCTTGAAGAGTATACTTCTCTAACTTGAACTGCTATTCCAGACAGAGATAAATAAATCCATATTTTACTATTATGGTTGAGGTTGATTGTGATTGCACAGTCAGCCAGATGTTTAGATTGGATGTGGCATTTTGTATTATTATTGTTGTTGTTGTTGTTGTTATTGTTATTATTGTTATTGCTATTGCTATTACCACCACTGTTGAAGAGTCGGTTCTCTTGGGAAGATTTGAAAAATCATTTTGGGAGGGAGCCACTTCTGCATTGCTTCCAGGAGTTAGCACGGCTGTCTCCATGAAGTTCTCAGATGCTGAACTCAACTTTAGAGCGTGTTGCTTTTCCAAGCTTCCAAGTCGCCCTCTTTTTCCTACTTACTTGGTGTAGAAAATTCTAATTCTAAGCATGAAGAATTAAACCGATCTCCTTTTACTTTATAATCACTGGCAATGATGGGCCAGAAGAGCCACCTCTGTCCAAAAAAGCTTTCCTGAACCACAATAAGCAAAGGCTTCCAGCGTCCATAGACGGCACTGAAAGCACAGCCCTGTTTTTTGACGCCATTCCTCATTTTTTGGGTAATATATTTTATTGATTTTTTTAAACATAGATCACTTAATAATTGGTAAACACATTCCTCTTTTTTTAAAAATCTCTCCTTACCTCCTGCAGTATTTAAGGCCTTGTGTATGAAATCAGCAGCCTCGTGGAAGAAGACACTTATGTCGAAGGAGTTGTCGTCAAAAGCTTGCACCCCGTAGTACTGAATCGGCAGGTCCCGGTAATAGCGGACTCCAGTGTTTATGTTGTAGGGCCCGTCGGCTGCGTTAAGGATGTGACTGATGCCAATGCTCTGAAGAACGGATTTACTTCTTGCTGCCAATCTGTCAATCAAAAAAAGAGGAAAACTGGAGAGCCATCATCGCCCCATTACATCGCCCCACCCCGCCTGGTCAGGCAAGGAGGGCAAGCCACGGAAGCCATCAGTTAGAGAATTTTGGCTGGCAGGACTCCGGAAGGCAGCCTTCTCTATCAGTGGCTTCCATCCTGATGGGCAGTCTGCTAAATCGAGGCAAGGCTGTGGCGTGCTCTTGAAAAAAAACTGGGGTGCTTGTAATTGGGGAGTCTGTCTGGCAAGAACAAAGAATGCTTGTTCACAGAGAATATGCAGGTGTAACAGTTGCAGCAATTCTAGGTTACCGATAACAGTAACAAAGAGTTAAACATCCTGCAGACCCCAGCAAGAAGTTAGGAATAGAGATGGCCTGGAGCAAATAGAATCTGTATTAGATAACTTCATTAGCCAAGGCGTAGGAGTAGGGATGGCTTGAGACCAATAGAACAAATTGTTAGATCATTACTAAAATGTTTATTAGATGATATTTCTTACATATTCCACCTTGTCCTGCCTTCTGCTTTAGTGATGATGGCTGATGAATTCTGGGAGTTGAAGTCCACAAGTCATAAAAGGGCCAAGTTTGAAGACCCCTGGTATAACATAGTTATTCCTGGCCTTTTGGAAACATCTGAAGACCTGGCCCTGCCAACTCACTTGGGGCCCACAGAAGAACTTTCAGCCATGGGCTTAGTTATTCTGAATGTTAAATGTGTTATCACTGTCTAAATTTACCTTGTATTGAAATATGTATGCAGTTTTTAATGTTTTTTTATGTCTTATTATGCCATTTCCTTACGCATCTCCAAGGTAGAGGTTGGGCCACACTTGGTCCACGTGATTGTCAGATCCTCCTCTGGTCCATATCAGTCTTTGCAGTTCGGAGAGGGCTGGGGTCTCGTAATGGTGTCTCCTCTCTGGACTAGGATCGAGGGAAGAACAGGTGCTTAAATTGATCATGGCTGCTTTCTATACTTGTGTTCAAGCGATGGTTCCCCACCGACCTTTCTGGAAACAAAGAATTAGGTTTTCCATTAATTATGACATTTTGCATATAACTAGTGTTCTAGATTGCTCTATTCTTCTCCTGCATGGCTTTTTTTGTTGGCCTTTGGGAGGAAAAAAGGGGGGAGGTCCTTCTTCCAGTTCAGCATGGAAACATGTGGAAAAATAAGAGAGCTAAGAATGAATGGTTGTTGAAGGATTGAGGGACTGAATACAAAGTGAGTGACCAGGATAGAAGGACTTCAGGATGATTTGAAAGAGAACGAATGAGGATCAAAGCAGAAAACCAATATAGGAAGAAAAAGTTAAATGAACCAAGACAAAGAGAAAGACCGAGACAACGGTGGTTGGACTGAGCTGGTGAGATCCTCAAAGACAGAGAGACGAGAATCTCACAGGACCACAAAAACAGTACAGGAAGCTATTGATGGAGATGGTAGAAGTAAGGAGCATTTGCGAAAGCAGATGTGGAGAGTGTGCTGTGTTGACATAAACTACTTTTCTTTTCTCAAACCTCATGTTTTTAAATTCTTTGGCTTATGAGTTTGTCCCCCTTTTTTTCTACATACACTGGTGGTGGTTGATGGGCCGAATAGTGGATCCCACTTCACCCCCTGCACACCTTGCTCCCCGCTTTCCCATCTTTTTAGCATAATTTATAATTTTATTGCTATTTTAAATATAGCAATATGTGTGTATGTGCTTGTTTGTGTATGTGCATGCACGCGCGCGCACACACACACACACACACACACACACACACAGAGTTTTATTGTTTTTAACCTTGTAAGCCACCCAGAGTCACCTTGTGGTGAGATGGGACACAAATGAATCTAATAAATAAATAATACTGCACAACACTGCTCACCCCTTGCTTGCCAAGAAGCGTGAGGTAGCCCCCCCGCCCCCCGTTGAGCACATTGCCATAATCCAAGGCAGGATGTCACCAAGGCCCGGATGACCGTTCTCAAATGCAGCCAGCTCAGGAAGCGATGAGGCTGGTGCACCGATGCGACTGTGCCAAATTGTTTGTCCCCACAACCTGTACATTACCTGGTAATCCAGCAAATCCAGGTGAGGTTGAAGGAGCACATCCAAGCTGTAGGCCTGCTCTTTCAGTCCCCAGATCTGGATTTCCTCTCCACCAACAAGACTTGGGTATAATTTCAGTTTGTTTGCCTTCATCCAGCCCATTACTGTCTTCAGACAGTGTTCAGTGATCCTTCCATGGCCTTGAATAGTAAGGAGGAATAGCTGACATGCTGCAGCTAAAAACTGCTTCCCGGGACATTTTTTTTTTTTAGCTTAACAAGCATTGCACTGACTGCTTGGAACTCAGTAATCTCTTCTCTTCCCTCCTTATTTTTATAGAAAATTGGAAACGTCAGTTAATATCAAGCATCTTTGCAGTGAAGATGGGCATCTATGTCTGGATGGCTTCCGTCTATCGGAGATAAATCTCTGCAGTGGCAGAGAGCTAGTTTTCCCTGAGGCCATTATCCCTGCTTTAAATAAATCTCTGCCTTTCTGACAGAAGGGAACACAGGCATATTTTTATCCCAGTCTAATATTAGATCACACTCAGGCGAAATCACATCATAAACTGGATGTCCTTGTGTCTCCTAAACCTTAAGAAGGATGCCGTTTAAAATAACAGGTGTGTGTGTGTGTGTGTCTGGATTTGATTCATGCAACTGAATTTTCTCCCTGCGTGAATTCCTTCAAACTCACCCAAAATCAGTTTGGGGAGATGCTTTTCATTGCCTAGGAGGAAAACATTGGGACTTGTAAACTTCCTTTCAGACATACATTATTTAGGTATCATCATCATCATCATCATCACAACAACAACAACCCATTGACTTTGCTTGTCAGAAGGTCGCCAAAAGGGATCACGTGACCCAGGGACACTGCAACCATCATAAGTACAAGTCAGTTGCCAAGTGTCTGAATTTTGATCATGTGACCCAGGAACACTGCAACCGTCATAAATGTGAGTCAGTTGCCAAGAATTTTGATCACATGACCACGGGGATGCTGCAACGGTCGTAAGCGTGAGAAACGGTCATTTTTTTCAGTGTAACTTCAAGAGGTCACTAAACGAATGTTGTAAGTCGAGGACTGCCTGCGTTTTAGTAGGATGAAGAGCAGAGGAAACCACACAGGAAGATGAGGTCATTCTTCAAATCACATTTATTGCAAACAGAAAGATTGGTACCTGGTTACAGTTGGTTATTTCGCTTGATCTCTTCTGCAGAATCCTTGCAGGCACCTGCCTCCGTCAGCCACAAGTCCTGAAGCCTATGCGAATCCTTCTGGCTGCTTTCTTTTTTTAGTCACCAACACCCAACCCTCTGTTGGATAAACCCTGTTTCTACACGGTGTGTTTATAGATTAAGTTCCTGATTCTTTTGGCTTGCACCTGGCTTTCAGCCGGCCCTTTCGCCACTGCATCCGGCAATCGGAGCAGAAAGATGAGAAGAAAAACACTTTCCAAATAATAGCTCAAGATTCTTAAAAATCTAACCTGGGAAGGACTGACGGTTGAGACAGGATTGCAGATGCAGCCTTTGAGTGGGAGAGGCTAACCTTACAGTATATCTTCCTTGCCATAGTAAAAGGGCGACTCTGAATTTGCATTCTATCCCGGGGCTGCATAAAATTTAAATCCAGCTCCTGCCAAATTATTTATGTTTTGCTACTATTAAAACTACAGAATCTATTCGATAGAGAATGTTAAATATTGATATCCCGTTGTGATATGCTTTTGAGCAAACTTGGCACGTCTAAATTTGTGGATCTCAACTCCTAGCATGCTGGCTGGGAGAATTCTGGGGCTTGAAGTTCATACATGTTCAATTGCCCAGGTCGAAAAACATTGATTTAGAGCAATGTTTCTCAACCTTGACTATTTTAAGGCATGGGGACTTCAACTCCCAGGATTCCACAGCCAGCATTGCTGGCTGTGGAATTCTGGGAGTTGAAGTCCACATGCCTTAAAATGGTCAAGGTTGAAAAACATTGATTTAGAGGTTTCCTCCTGAAAAGAGACAGGGGAGGCGTCCAACCTTTGCTGGTTTCTGCTGTGATTCAAACTGTTTCAGAGCATAGGCAGGCCGCTTTTGCTCTCTGTCAATGACACTGTTGGATTGCAGGGTGACAAAAGATCAAGTTTTCTTTGTCGACAGGGCAGGTGGTAAACAAGCATTGTGGGCTGCCCTCTTTGAACACTAGGTGTTGCTCTGGAACAACACACAAAATATGAGGAAATAATAGTTTCCTCTGCTCCAAGTTATTTTCCCAATTATTTGGAAAACAACCAACTTATTTTCCAAAGCACCTGAAGGCAAGACAAGAAACAGTGGGTGGAAACTAATCAAAGAGAGAAGCAACCTGGAACTAAGGAGAAACTTCCTAACAGAACAATTAACCAGTGGAACCGCTTGCCCCCAGAAATTGTGGATGCTCCAACACTGGAGGTTTTTAAGAAGAGATTGTCTGAAATGATGTAAGGTCTCCTGCTTGAACAGGGGGTTGATCGAGAAGATCTCTGAGGTCTCTTCCAACTCTGATGATGTTTCTTCTTCTTCTTCTTCTTCTTCTTCTTCTTCTTCTTCTTCTTCTTCTTCTTCTTCTTCTTCTTCTTCTTCTTCTTCTTCTTCTTCTTCTTCTTCTTCTTCTTCTTCTTCTTCTTCTTCTTCCTCTTTTCTCCTCCTCCTCCTTCTCCTCTCTAACTTATATTATACCTACATTATCTAACTTACTCCCATCTCTGTGGCTTTTGACCTGCTGTTTTCTAGGACTTTTGTTTCCCATGGTTGCACTCTGAGTCAAATGCTGCCTTCTGAGCTGTCCCCACCCAAATTTTCTCAGTTTCTAATGTGTCAGACTTTGAACCACATGGAAAGTATCTCTGCTTCTGAGGTCATTGCAAAGCTGGTGCCGCCTGAGTTTGGCAGGCGGAGAACACGGCAGCAGAAAAACCACAAAGCCTAACCTATACAGGCAAGAGAAAAACTTAGTAATAGTTAATTTTCAAAATGGTTTGAAGATTTGCTTACTATTTTATTTTATGAACAGTTTTTTGGGGGGTGCAATTAGTTTTAGTCAAGGAGAAAACCGCCCCTAATTTAAGCAGAGTGCTAGGAAAATCAATGAATTAATCAATGTATTGCTCATACAGTTCTTAGATCATCTAAGGTGCTTTCTGATTGACAGCTGCAATTCTTTACCTATTAAAATAAGTGCTCAAATAATGGGGAAGCTTTCCTATTCTGTTAAAGATTAGGGTTTAGGGTTTCTTCTTTAAACTTCTGTCGCCACCTCCCAATTCTGGAATGGTGTGGAAAAGGAGAGATTGAGCAGAAGCAGATCATAATTAATCTTGGGAAGAAGAGAGGGTCTAGAATTTCCCATTCCTATTCCTGCCAGTTTTTAAACCAGTATACACTATATTTTTTAACTTACCTGTGACCTCTGACAAGTTCTTATCCCGCCTCTCTGAGCTAAAGACTTTTGGAACGATGTGAGAAACCTGCTGGGTCCACTGCATCATTTTAGAACATCTGTGCTTTCCTCTGGGGACTGACCAGAAGCCTCTGTCCAGGAGGAAACTTTGGCAGCTACGTGCCACTGCATTTCAACTTGCCTTTAAATTAAGGGGGAGGGGAGGTGTTACTTTCAAGTGGGTTAGATGGAGAAGAAACCTATGATTCTGCCGAAGAGTGTAAGAGCCTGAAACCTTTTCAAGGACACCATAACAGGTGTGGATTTGAAGCAGATGGTTCCCATAACAAAATTAACTTGTTTATATGGACTATGTAAGACATTGGGGGTTTGGCTGGGAAAATTATTGTTTAAGTCTATGAATTGGGGTTGGAACCTCAGAGTTAGTTTTGCTTCGACATACCCATGTAGTGTATTCAATGAACAGTAAGACTTCAAAGACAGAATGTACCTGGAGTTTTATTTGAATTCTCGAGCTGAATGTTGACAGCCTCAGCCTACGACCTTGCTCCAAGACCAAAGGCAAATTTAGGAAAATCCCACCCCTTCTCAACTCTGCTTACAAGAGCTGCCATCACAACATAAGGTATCTGTGTCCCAATCATAGAGTATAAGAATAAATGGAAGCACCAACACAGTGAACAAGTGTTAATACCACTATATACTGCACTGGTAAGACCACACTTGGAATGCTGCATCCAGTTTTGCTCACCATGATGCAAAAAGAAAAAATGTTGAGACTCTAGAAAGAGTGCAGAGAAGAGCAACAAAGATTATTAGGTGACTAGAAGCTAAAGAGTACAATGAACGGTTGTGGGAACTGAGAATGTCTAGTCTAGTGAAGAAAAGGACTAGGGGTGACATGAATTGTCTAATATTTGAGGGGCTGCCACAGAGAAGACGGGGTCAACCTGTTCTGCATGTGAGGGCTTAACAGGAACTAGAACTTAACAGGTCTAGTTAGAAGTTACTTCTTTAGTGAATTCCCAGCAAATTCTGCCAGCAATTGTGTCCTAGGCTATTCTGGGTTATCAGAGATTTTTGTGTCCCCCATTCTTTGCCCTTGGCCTACTTTAGGATTTTCTGTTTTTCATGATTTTGTGACTTTAATGCAGCCTGACATGGGGAATTTGTGCATTGCTGCCCAAAAAAAAAAAGAAAAGAAAAGGTCATCTGTGGAGAAGGACAGCCAGCAAAGAACACTCAGTATTTCAGTTGGTGCTTAGTAGGAAAAAAGGAACTGGGTGGCTGGGCTGTGTTGGAGCCCACATTAAACCAGATTGCTTCAGAAACAGTGTATAGGTTTTTTTTTTTTAATGGCAAAGCAATATTTGTACCAATATTGGGTGTGTTGGGTTATATTATTTTCTTATTCTATTTTGCACAAACCTCCTCCTCCTCCTCCTCCTCCCCTCCTCCTCCTCCTTCTCCTCCTCCTCCTCCTCCTCCTCCTCCTCCTCCTCCTCCTCCTCCTCCCCTTCTCCTCCTTTAGGGGGAGCACACTTAATGCTCCCATCACCTCTTTTCTCCACAGGTGAAAATATTATGAATCCACAGGTCCATGGAGATTCTCAGTCATCCAGGTCATGGTTGTCCCAAAGGTGCTTTTTTCCCCAAAAGGCAGCTGGACTTTCTTTGTTTTTTAATTCCTTGAAGATATTTCACTTCTCATCCAAGGAGCTTCTTCAGTTCTCAGCTGTTCAGAATTGAAGAAGCTTCTTGGATGAGAAGTGAAATGTCTTCAGGGAAAAGAACAAAGGAAGTCCAGTGGCCCTTGGGGAAAAATCCAGATGACTCCAGATCATGGAGATGGCAAAGCACCGTTGTGCCTTCAAGGGAGGGCGGAAAGGGGAAAGAAGCAGAGCGGCTGTTGTTGACATCCTTCCTGCTCAGCTGAGTCCCTTCCCTCCAAAAGGAGATGCCTGAAGTTGACAGGCTGGAGCAGGCACAAGCGTGCTTAATTCTGGCTAAACATCAGGAATCTGGTCACACCTTCTCCAA